TGGCCTATTGCAGATGACAATGGGAATCAGATCACTGATTGAAAGGAAATTGAAGACCATTTTATAGAGTTTTATAAGAAATTGCTGGGGCAAAGCTCAAAGGGTGTAAAAAGTTGATCCGGAGATTTTTGAACAAGGGGAGAAGCTCAGTGTGGACCAGCAACTAAAAATCATCAAGCCAATCACAGAGAAGGAAATCAAAGAAGTTATATGGGGAATGAGTGCTACAAAGAGCCCAGGACCGGACGGACACGGAACGGGGTTTTTTAAAGCTGCTTGAAGTGTGGTGGGGCAAGACGTTACGCAGGCACTGTTGGAGTTCTTCACGCATGGAAAGCTACTTAATCTCCTAACTCCATAGTACTAGCTTTCATCCCCAAAGTTGAGGTTCCAGTGAATGCTTCTCAGTTTAGACCAATCTCATGTTGTAACATTATCTATAAGTGTATTTCCAAACTATTATGTAATAGACTAAAACAAGTACTGCCTAGCTTAGTAGACAATAATCAGAGTGCTTTTGTGCAAAATCGCCTTATTTTGCATAACATTCTGCTTACTCAGGAGTTAATTAGGCATTATGGCAGGAAAGGTGTTAGCGGAAGGGTAGTTATGAAAATCAAAAAAGCCTACGATTTTGTGGAGTGGGGGGTTTGTCAAAGAGATGTTAGAGGGGTATGGAGGTTTTTTGGGACTTGGATAATGGCCTCTATTACATCTACTTCTTTTTCATTATCAATCAATGGGAGTTGTTCAGGTTTTTTCCTAGGAAAACGTGGTCTTCGACAAGGAGACCCTGTCACACTGCTGTTGTTTGTCCTTGTCATGGAGTATTTGAGCAGAAGCTTCAAGAAGATAACAAAGCAACCTGGGTTTAAGTTCTACCCCCCTGTATGCTTCGTTAAAACTTTCCAATGTATGCTTTGCAGACAACCTCATGGTTTTTTACGAGGCAGATATGGGAACCATTGCAGGGACAAAAGGGGTGCTGGAGGAGTTCTATCAGGTGACTGGTCTAGAAGCAAGTCCACAAAAGTCTGAGGTGTATTTTGGGGGTGTCAATTTACAGCAGCAGCAGGCAATCTGTGATCTGACTACATTCAAAAAAGGTACCTTCCCAATGGAATATCTCGGTATTTCTGTCTCCTAAGAAGTGGTCTAAACTTGAGTGCCAGGAGATTATTAACAAAATGATGGTTACAATTAGGTGTTGGAGTTCAAGGCACGTATCCTATGTTGGTAGGTTTCAATTGATCAACTCAGTTTTGCTTTCATTGCATGTTTATTAGAGTTTTGTGTTTATACTACCACAAAGTGTCTTAACTGCTGGAATCAAATATGCCGTGAGTTCTTGTAGGGGGTAAAAGTAGTGGTAGAGCAGTGTACCTTGTTAGATGGGAGGATGTTTGTCAAAAGAAATCACAGGGTGGTTTAGGCATCCGGGACATTAAGATGTGGAATAGAGCTGCAATTCTTAAGCAAGTATGGTGTTTGGCTATGAAAACTGATAGTCTTTGGATTAAGTGGATTCATGCTGTATATCTCAAACAAGAGAGTATCTGGAATGTTCAGCCTAGACTAGATAGCAGTTGGTATTGGAAAAAGGTTTTAAAGTGAGGGATCTTGCGAGTATGGGGTTTGATGAGAATAGATGGAAAGCCTCTGCCACTGGAAGCTATTCTATCTCCTCTGGTTATGAGTGGCTACAGGGAAAGAACGAAAAGTGGAATGGTGCTAAATGTGTCTGGTCATCCTTGACCTTGCCTAAGCACTCTTTCATGAGCTGGTTGGCGTGGAAGCAAAGACTCCTTACTAGGAAAGACTTAAAGCTATAGGGATTTCAGTGTTGGATGACTAGTGTATCCCGTGCTCTTCAGCTGAGAAATTTGTTAGTCATTTGTTTTTTGAATGTAGCTTTGCTTTTGATGTGTTGCAACAAATTCAGCAATGGTTGGGTAGTAGGAAATTCTCTGTAAGGATGGCAGTTTGGCAGTCTCAGATTTTGAACTTTTGGAGAGGAGCTAAACTGATGAGAAGCATACTTTGGTCTGCTGTGAATGCTGTTATTTATCATGGTTGGGAAGAGAGGAACAAGAGAATGTTTAGTGGTAAGGAAAGGCAACCAAAAGAGGCGGTACAGCTGGTGCAATATGAAATCAGAGTAAGAATTATGGGGAAACAAAGAAGAAATTGGTCAAGGGCTGAAAGAAGAATCCTGGAGGCTTATGCTCTTACTTAGCTTAGAACTTGTATATCTTTTCATATCTTTTCATTCTTTTGTCTGAAGCTTTAATGAGGAATATGAAGAAGCTAACGGAAGAGGGAAGAATAGCTTTATATTGAATGCCAGCTAGAACAGCCATACCCTCTCATTTATGCTTTGCGGATGACCTTATCATCTTCACAAAAGGCTTGAAGCGCTCAATGGAACAATTGATGATTTTCTTTCAGGACTACGAGGATGCAACCGGGCAGAAAATGAATAAGGAAAAAAGTACCTATATAGTGTCTGAAAAAAGTGGAGAAGCACATGTTGCCATGATTGAGGAGACATTACAAATGCAAAGGGGTGTTTTTCCCTTTTTGTATTTGGGGTGTAAGTTATTTAAAGGAAAGAAGAAAGGAGAAAATTTCGATCATCTCCTTGAAGCTATTGATGCAAAGTTGTCGAGTTGAAACAATATTTTTCTCTAACAAGGAGGAAGGCTCTTGCTTATAAAGCATGTGCTATCAGCTATCCTAATTCACACTATAGCTGCTACTGCTCCCCCAAAATCTAATATTGAGAATATTGAGCGCAAATGTCAACACTTTCTTTGGGGGGAAAGGAATCTGGAAAAAAGCATCATTGGCGATCATGTGGCAAATTGACTTTCTCCGTTGCTGAAAATGGATTAGGTATTCGGAATTTGATGGATGTTACTAAGGCCTTTTCCATGAAACTATGGTGGAAATTAAAGACTAATCAAGGAATTTGGTCTAAGTTTGTTTGTTCTCTCTCGGCTATAATGAAGGATAAGACTAGCTGGTCCAGAATCCGAATGGTTGATCATCTTGCTTCCGCGAGTAGTATTCTGGTCATTCGCGATGGTTCCTCTCCTCTTTGGCATGCTAAGTGGCTGGATTCTGGAGTACTATGGAATGACCCTGGAGATCCTCCAGCGTCGAACTTAACTGTAAAAGATTTTTTCCTTTAAAAAGATTTTTTCTGAACTGTTTTTGCAAGTTTACTTGGAGAGCAACGAGTAGATCAACTGCGGAGATTAGAGCTAACCTTTGTGGATGAGCCGGATAGATTGGTGTGGAAATCAACCTCAACGGGATCTTTTTCCATTGCCTCAATGTATGAGGAAGCTCGCCCACACAGAGAAGAATTTTCTCCCTTTAAAAATCTTTGGAATAAGCTTATCCCTTTAAAAATTTCTATTTTTGCACGGAAGCTTTTTAATCGTTTCCTTTTTCTGAAACCTTGCAAAAAATGGGTTTTGTCATGAATCCTTCAAGATGCCCTTTCTGTCATGCAGCTGAAGATACAATAGATCATATTTTTTTATGCATGTCAGCATATAGCTTTAGTGTGGAAATATTTTGCTTCACTTTTGGTCTTTTGATTCCGGAAAATGCAGGGTGGTGGACTAATTTACAAACATGGCAAAAGATGGGCAGCTTCACCTCCGCAAAAAAAATCCAAAAAAAATCCATACTAATGGTTACTCCAATTTTCCTCCTATGGGAAATTTTGAAAATGCGCAATAAAATCATCTATGATGGCGTTAGATTCTCGATGAATTTTTTGAAAAATGAAGTTCTGTCTATTGTTTCGAATATGTTGAGTGTGCAGGACTTACAGAGAAAGACTTTGGAAGAGCACAACGGAATAGAGGAATTGTTTTGAGTGAAGGTCCAGAGGCCAAAAATCAAGAAAACAAGGATATTGAGATGGAGCCCTCCTGATACACAGGACAAATTATGCTCATTTCAGATGGATCGGCTTTTGGACAACCTGGACATGTAAGATGGGGATATGTTGTAAGAGGAGAACGAGATTGTTTTATTTTTGCTGAATGTAGCTACATGAGCATCGGTACAAGTATTGGGGCTCAGCTAGCAGGGATTTATCATGAACTCCAAACATGTGAGCTAAAAGGACTTCATCATGTGCTAGTTCAATATGACAACTCAAGCATTGTAACTTAGCTTCAAAAAGGCAAAAACTACCCTTGGAAATACTATACAATGTTGAGGAAAATTCAACAAATGATGTGCACCACAAATGCACAAATAGACCATATTTATCGTGAGGCAAATAGTGTTACGGATGAATTTGCAAACAAGGCCTCTTTGGGAAGTACATTGTGTTATCATTCTCAGGAGACTCCCTACATCTTTGAAAGGTAATTTTTTTTAGATAGGAATTATTTTCCATATATAAGAATTAGATAGTTGAATACTTTGTTAGGGGTAAGAAAGAGATGTCATGGGATTTATGTGTAAAATCTTTGTAAGACATGTTCTTAGAATAGTTTATACTTTTGCATTAAGAACTGGCAAGGGATAGTACACTATCTTTGTAAGTCATTTCATAACTGTAGTTTTGTTAGAGAACCATCATGGGGTTTTAGAAAAGCTTTCTGTAAGACGGTCTCTTTTGAATTAGGTAAGTCTTAAACACTGTATTTGTAACTTTTTCTTATTATTAATAAAATCAGAGGGATGTCCGCCAGGTACCGCCCAGGTTCACCTAGAAAAAAAAAAAATAGGCTGAGTGAAAGTTAATTAGAGGGAATTGATGTAAAATGATGACAATTGTGATTTATTGCTCATTTTATCAATATATTTTACCTTTTACCAAAAAAAAAATCCAACATTAAAATCTCTCCTTTATGCTGAGCATAAATAAAGGTGATAAAAATAACTTACATGTCGATCTGCGACTGGAAGTTGACTTCCTCCTAGTTATTACTACAACTTAAAAATGAAGAAAAAAAGAATCAGGAAAAGACTTAATCTGAAATCGTCCAAATGAAATCATTCTCAAAGATCCAATGACAAACTTCAATTTTACCCGGACCCGAACCCAGAGCAACAAATGCTTCATGATCTTGACTCCAAGTGGATGTATCAATGTGACAGATGGCAACTCCATGATTGATCTTAGACTTGGACTTCGGATCAAGTATATCCGCTTCGTAAACTCGAACCATCGGGACCGAATGACAGTAGTACAACAAGTACGGGTACAAAAGCTGATGACAAGACACCGATTTCGTGATACGTCCATCGTTGATTCGGGTCACGCTACCGATCATAATGTTTTCACCCGAACCTCGAGTACCCTCGATACTCCGAACGGCGATGTTTTTTCCCAGAAGCGACGTTGCGAAATCAATCATATCTTCCCCGCTGCCGGAACACCATTTCGTTTCTCCAGCGCTCGGAGCTCTTTCACATTCGCTCAACGCATCGTCGAATATCCTGGAATCGTCATTATTAGGAGATGAATGGAAAATCTTTTTCAACTCGTGAATCTTGGTAGTAGAAAACGGTATTTTAGAAAGGATTTTTGGTGGCAAGAAGGATCTTTTGGGCATTTTATCCTTGATATCAGGCATTGGCATCACGGCTCCAGTTTCCAGCATCTTTTCCCTGAAGAAAGTCCCTGGTTCCACCCACTCCTTTGCGCTGGGCCCGTAGTGCCGGAAAAGATTTCTGTAGTCAGGAAATCGACCTGCTGCTGATTCCGAGTACTCTGCGGTAGGTTATTAATCAATTAGAAGTTATATATCGGAATGAGTTTCAGAGTGGCCTTCATTGCCTCCACATAAATAGTTAATGGCTTGACCGGCATAATTGTTGAAATTAATTATTTGTAGATACAGTAGAAAAAGTTAAAATAAATCGATAAAATGATAATATAATAATATTTCGAAAAATCTCTTACGATATATATATAGGTTCCATTAGTAACATAAATTGATAAAATACCCTAAAAATAAAAAAAATAATCATAGTAACTATAGATATTTAGTAAAATATTAAATATTGATACTTATTTTATAGTCTTGAAGATGTTATGAACTATGTATGAATTTTTAGTGTTCATAAGAGTTTTAATACTTGATTGATTGGAATATAAGGACAAATGTAAAATAAATAATTTAGTGACGGTTGTTTTTTTCTCATAGAAATTCTTTAAATTAATAATTGATTAATTTGTCCATTATTTAATTATTCAATAAATTAATAAACTTCGGTGGTTTCAACACCATTAATTTATACAAGTTCTCCTGTATATGCTTTTTAATCTCTGAAATGACTTCAACAAAACTCTAATGAGAATTGAATCTGGGTTTATTCTAGATAGAACAATATCTTAATCATTAAACTGCCATTTATTAGGTTAATGAAGCCAAAACGAAGGAAAAATTAATGTGGGTTACCTTTACTATCGTTGGTGAGACTAGTCCCCTCATCGTGGAAGCAAAAAAGGTAAGCAGCTTTGCAAAAGTTGGAAAACTGGTCGGACATCAACTGTTGATCGTCGGCGAACTCCGAAAACTTGGCCATTTGAATGGCATCTAACGGGGAAGCTTTGTTGAGGAATGACGGATTGGGTAAGCTTGTTGAAGAGACTTTGTTTCTCCAGTACCGAATCAGTGAAGCTTTGGCTGTGTATGGACTGTTTCCGGCGGAATTCCGGCCAATGTCTTTTCCCCGCGCTTCCGCCAATACCACCTGGAAATGTTCATGTGTATCAGTGTATGTTCTTTAAGATTGTGCTATATTGTTTCATGTGTGCTTGTAAATGCGTATATAATCTGTAATTTTAAGTGGAGGAACAAAGAAAGGAAGTCTGAATTAGAATAATGTCACAGCTATTGTTACTTTTTTTTTTCCCTCGAAATGATCGTTCTTTTAGGATTCTCAGGACAAAAGAGAAGTATTATCTTTTGTTATCTATTGTTTACAAAATTATGATCTCTGTCTACGTCATTTAACTTCAAAAATTCAAATAAAAAAAAAGAAGAAGAAGAAGAAACCATTAGGACAATAATCAAGATAATTCAAAATAATTCAATTACTTTTAGCATAAAAATTACATTTTTTTTTTTAAGAGCATAAAACTTACATTAAAATGTGACGAAGCAATAATGGCTAACAGGAGTAGTGAAGACCAGGAACGAGAGTCTGTCAGGTCCATATTTTAGTAGAAAGATTTATTTAACTTACGGTGCGTGGTTGCCAAAGAAAGGAAGAGATAAAAAAAGATTGTGGGTTTGACTATGAATTGAGGAAAAGCCTCAATTTTATACTAGTAATTTCATTTGGCGAACAATTTGATGGCATACTATTTGAGGTAGGATCGAGGAACTTGATCATTAAGCACCAAGTGGATCGATTCATTACGCAACGTGATTAAAATTTATCGCATTCGCTTATTCTTCTGAAGAAAATACTAAAAAAAAACAGCAGCTGATAAATTCCGAAGATGAAAGATTATTTATACCACTTCTCCTTTAATTAATTCAGTTTTCAGTGAACTATAATTTACATTTTTTGGCATCGCCATTAAGATGGATATCTAGCGTCTTTAGCAAAAATTTTCAGTATAATTCGTTCAAATTTATACTGAAAATCAAATTCAAACTTGGCGAAAATTTCGGAATGGGAGGAGTATATAGGAAGTGATTGTGATGTAATAAAGCTAGAGATGGAGACGGGGCACTGATTGTGACAGATGAAGGCGATATTGGTGGTGGTTAGCGGAGGAAGTCGTAGAAGGTGGCGGGAACCATAGTTTGGGGCTGCTGGCGGATTCTTCCACATGCGGACAAGAAATAATTTGATAAATCTTATTTTGGAAAGGTTTTAGATTATGATGTTTATGTATGTAGAAAAGAAGTTGGACAAGAAAACTATTATTGGTAAATAATCACCTTTCAAAACCTTTTAAAGTGTTGATCTCTCAGCGTAGTGATTCTGTTTGTTAGACTGAGGAAATTGTAATGTTGGTATATTACGTTATCAATTAGTATTAGTAACTTAATCATCATTTCAGATGGGTTAAAGGTTACGTGTGAGAGATTAATGTACTCCTATAAAAATTAATTAAGAATCAATATTCATATCTCGTTTAAAATGATGCGGGATTTATCGAGATATAAGATACCATTTGATCGACCCTTTAGTCATTGTAACAAAAGAAGAAAGAAACACAGCATTCGACGTCATTCGCACTGTTAATTCTAAATTTTAATAGATAGTACTTAACAAAGATAGGATTATTAGTTTCGTTAGAGGATTACATGCGCTTGCTATATTTTGCTTTCAGTTCACAACTTCACACGCTAGTTTATTTGAGGTAGTTAATAAAATAGTTTTTCCTTTTCTAGAAAACAGTTCATATTGAATTATGATATTTGTAATAAAAATATTACAAATTAAAAAACTCAACGTCGTCAATCGTTGTTTCAGAGCAGAGGGAGTACTATTCAACATGCCTAGGATTCTTTTAATTTGAGAAGAAATGGACAAACGTCTAGTGGAACCATTCATTTCCTCCTCCTTTCCATTCGTTTGTTGACTAAAAAGGAAAAGAAAAGAAAAGGAGAGAGTAGACACAACATTCTCCTCCTTTTGCAGTCGCACCTAGTAAATATAGCTTCAATGTCTGTTAACTTTAACACAAAATTTTGCGGTAAAACCTTCCTCAGCGTAATCATAACAATGTTTTAACAGATTTTCCCCGTTCCCTCCTCTTGGTAGGTGGACTCGTGTGTACAAGACTGACTAATCCAAAGTCTTTCTTTTATAATTGTGCTGTTTCGACAGACTTATGACAAAGACCAATAATGAGGAAATAATTAAAACAATTATTCTTTGAGTGGTGGTCATTCCGTAACAAAATTTGGCATGTGATGCGTGATTTTAATATGTGATTCCAAGGGATGCGTGGAAACTTCTTAGCTCGTTGGATAGTTTAGCCGATCAGCATCCGAGAACGTGGAAAAAAGTGATGTTTTTAGTGTTGCTGAGAAACTCTAATTGTGTGAAACAGGCTATCATATTTGGAAGACCATATATATACTGTCTGATTTTCTGTACTAAACCAGTTGAAGAGTGAAAAGTAGTCCAAGAGGTTGCCCTACATCTAAATTAAATTAGAAATTAATCATTAAATTTCAGAAAAGAAAAAAAAAAGGATTTTTAATCTTACAAATTGATCTAAATTAACCCAACAGTGATCCAGCGAGTGCACCTCCGCCTGCGGATTCCATTTAATTTCACGAACCGCGCGGCGGTGGTGGAGGCGGAGGTGGTGGCTGACTGGCAGTGAAACGATTATCCTAATTGATTTTTTATTTGAATCAACGATATATGGTTTCATCATCAGCAGCATCTTGTATTTCAGCACGTAGTAAACATTCTCCATATCTTCTAACTAAAATGCAATAATGCCACGAATTTTTTATTTTTGTTTGGGTAATAAATGCACCGAAAGTTTTTTTTTTTTAACAAAATTCCCCGCTACTTCCCCTTGGTAGGGTAGACTCCTGTTTACGAGACTGACTAATCACAAGTTTTTCTTAATTTTGTGCAAATTAGTTGTGCTGTTTGGATGGACTTATGACTAAAGACTAGTACTATGGCAATACTATTTGCAGTCTTAAAAGTCTTTGCCATCAACTTGAGGAAAAAGTTAAACATTTATTCTTTGCGTGGCCATTCTATGAAGAAGTTAGACAGGTAATACATGATTTCAATGGATGCATAGAAACTTGTTAGGTCATGGGATACCAGAAAATGGAGAAATGATGTTTTGAGTGTTGCTAAGTTTCATATTTGGATGGCCGTAAAAGTGTGTCGTAAACATGTTGAAGACTCAGAAAGTAATCCAAGAGATACACCTGAAATTAAATTTGAATTTTTTCAAAAAAAAGAAAAGAAATTAATTTAATGCAATAAGATCATATCAAACCGACGAGTCGTAAGTATGAGATTTCGGAGATGGCTCTCCTTCATTATTCTGATCATTTTGTTGTGATGATATGGAATAGTGAAAGAATGGCACATTCTTTTCTTAAAATTAATCACTTTATTACCAAAAAAATAAAGTTCTAACAAATTAGATACGTACACAACAATATCGTTTACATTACAATTTCAAACGTTATACAGGACATGGTTTTGCATCACATAACCTAGTACACAGCGTAAATGAATTGTTGGAGTCTTCGGATTCTTTTTTTTTTTTTTTTTAATAAATAACTTGACCCAAACTCATTAAGTCATCGAATCATTTGCCGAATTGTTGTATTCCCAGCCTATGCTAATCAATTTGTACGTATTACACACTATTGGATGTCGAGAATATACCATATCATTGTGTGTGATTCAAGGTCTAATCGATCAAACAAGTTCTCCGGAATTCAGTACCGCCAGTGAATTCAATGGGCGGCTCTGTTTGGTACATTAATTTCTTAATAGGTTTCTTTTCATAATCATTTTATAATAAATATCTTACCTCAATAAACCTTTTTCACATTTTTAACACACTTTTATATTCATGATTCAAAAAAGAAAACAAAAAAAACTTAAAACACACACTACAAAACGATTCAAACATACAGTGTAAACAAACTTCTTAAACTCCTGCCCTGTCCCCCACAGTGGCCGCATTTGTGATTTTTCTGAAAAGAAAAATGAATGGAAATCCCTGCTGTATGCAACGATATGCATCCTAGTCACGAATTAATGTAAGCCGTTGAATATTCATCTTTTTTATCTTTATGTTTCCCGTTGAATATTATTATGCTTCACTTAGTATTTGATTTGAAGAGATTTGAGATAGTCTTCGATCCTCGAAAAAAGACAAGTCCAAATTATTGTACAACTTGTTTAATAATTTAAGAAAACAGACTATTTTCTTTTGGATCTATGCATATCCAGGCCCCCCAAACATGTCAAATTGACACGACTCTCTCGATATGTAATACGTACTACATTTCTTTAAAACAAAAATGTAGTCTACGTTGAATATTTTTAAGTGGATGGAAGGAATATATTAAAATCACTCCAGTGGTTAATGTTTGCATTACTAAACTGGCTTGCATATTCAATTCCTTCGGAGCATTTCTTTTGAACCTCTTTGGCTCGGCTCCTTCGTCTTCTAAACATGCCCTTTTTACTCTTCATTCTGTTTTAGTCCTTATCATCAACTTCAACATTTCTTCTCCACCCAAAAAAGCCAAAAGAAAAAGGAAATAACCCAAAAAAATAGGAAGGTAGAAAGGGGTTAAGCTATAAGATTAAGTCTTCTGGAGAAGCGGACATATATCGGAAGAAGATCAAAAGCAGTTCGGTTTGTAGGATCTGTTCCAAGGTCTTCTCATATCAGTAACGTACGCATTTACTACTTTCGCATGTTTAAATTCAATTTATGCATTTTTTTTTTCTCAAAAAACAATTTATACTTTGCGTTAGTTAATGTAATGTTTTGGAAAATTGGAAATGTATAATATGTGAACTGCAAAGCGTGTGTGTTCTGTTTTTGGTTTTCTGTTTCTTTCTTTTTTTCTTTTTGTTTTTCGGTCTGTATGACTTGATCATGCTATGGCCTATAGTTAAAAATGTGGCCGGTGAGCGCAGAGTAAAAGTCAGGTCGACTCAATAAGGATAATGTAGGGAGAAGAATACAACTTGCAAAACGTGATTTATATGCACAAAAACGGTTATTTATCATGGGAGATAAGGAGCCTAGTTTGAATTTTTTTAATCTAAAAGTTTTGATGAATAGAGAGGATCTTCACTTCAAACAGAAACCTGTTGATTTATGTCCAGTGCTAGCTCAAACAACGTCATTTAAGTTACTATTCACTCTCTCTGTGTCTCATATATTTGTTGATGAGACCTGGAGGTAGAAAACTGGAGAACGGTTTTGAATGGAAGGAATGTGGCCGGTGAGCGCAGAGTAAAAATCAGGTCCACTCAATATAGATAATTTAGGAAAAAGATACTCAAAATTCAATCTGGGAACTAATTATTAATTTTTTTGAAATAAAACTATATTCAATTAATTTATTGAAAATTTTCCAGTAACGATTGAAATTTCCAATCAAGAGATACAGTCGAATAAACATAAGTTATAATCAATCTTAATTGGGGACATGACCTTTTTAATTTCGAAAGTATTTTCCTATTTAATTCGCGTCCCTAATGCTTTTCATATGAAAAAATTAACCCCAATATATATATATTTTTAAAAAATTGGTCCTATTCTCTGGATCCGGTCACCATCCCGTCTGAAATATGATTTTGTTAAATTATTATTTTAAGAAAGAAAAATTGTAGATTTTTCTGCATATTTTATTATTTATCAATTTTTCCGTGCTTTTTTTGAACGAGCGAAATAATAACTTTACCGTAAATTTTTTTTAATATTGTGCTATTTATTTTTATTCATCCAAATTAAATCTTACTACCTAAAAATATAAAATTTACAATATTATTTACCATATTATCTTTAATTTTTACCCTAAACAAACTAAAAATTATCCTAAATAGTTTTATATTACCCCTATTATTATTATTCCACTGGTCTATTACTAAATCAACTACTAATTTTCACCATTTTATCTCATGAAATTTTAAAATTAATAAAATAATAATATTAAAAATAACATATTTCTAAAATAGTAAAAATAATTTTAATAATATTAAATTGATAAAATGTTTCACTATCATTTGGTAAAAACGTAAGCAAAATGTGAAATTAGGATTTTCTTTTTCAATCCAGCTTGTTTTACTAGACTAACCATTTTCTCAAACTCCAAAATTTCAAATTTGTTGTTTAGGGTGGGAGGTTTAGGTGAGGTGGTTAGAGGATTACAATGGAGGATGGTTATTAATAGGAGGTTGAGGGTTCCATTTCAGCTGTGGCCATCCAATTTTTCTTCTTTGTAAAACAAAAATCAAATTTGTTTATTTTCATCATTTTTTATCCCATATTTTTACATTTTTATCTCATAAAAATTCGAAACCTAATTATTTGATTTTACATTATCCATATTTTTTACGTCACTAAAAAAAATCAAAACAGCAATTACACTCATTTTACCTTTAGCCACAAAAATCATTAAATGATCGGGATCTTGATGCCCGAGAAAGTTGTAATAAGTTTTTTAATTTTTGGATGAAGATGAAAATGATAAGTTTTTCATTGATGTACAAATATTAATGATAAGGTAAAATGAAAAACACAAACAACCGACTTAAAATATTTTCTATGTATAAACACATCACGTTAAATTAAAAAACCTATAAGCTGTATAGAACAATTATCAAAATTGATATGTACATAAGACAATCATAAACTCGAACATTAGGAGATCAGTGAAACTATTATTTATGTTACATAATCTGGTTTATGTCCATGGATAGAATACGATTTGAACGGTATTTTCTAACTGCAAAACTTGTATAGTTTTGATTAAGCCAACACATAGGTATCTGAAGTCCGATCTCACACTTTGCCTATCTCCTTTTTGTGCCATTTTTACCACCTTACATTATACTATATTAATAACTCCTCTTTCGCATTACAATTATATCAAACCTTAATTTAATGGGCAGAGTAGTGGAGATTTTCATTTATTCGAATTAAATCATTGTGAGCAACAGATTAGAGAGTTCACTATTTCTCTCATCATTCATCATCACACATGGATTATTCATATGCATGCAATCTTCTTCCTTATATTTATGTATGTATGTATATAGTTGAATTTTACAAATGTTTTGTTTTACAAATTTACTTCAAAAAGTATTTGCAGAGACCAAACCGACCAATAAAAAAAAGGAACACAAAGGGGAAAAGAGAATGGCGGTTGAACTATTCATGCCCATTATCCTGGACCGATTGATAGATGTTACCACTCAACAAATTGGAGAAAAGGTAAATCTCATCGCCGGGGTCGAAGAAGAGGTCGACAGTCTGAAGAAGAAATTTGATACTCTTGCATATGTTTTGGAAGATGCTGAGAGGAGAAAGATTAAAGAGAGCCCTATTTGGGCATGGCTGGAACAACTTGAAGACATAGCCTATGAGATGGAAGATGTGTTAGAAGAGTGGCATATTAAGTTCATCAAACCTCAACAAGTTCGAGCAAAATCCACCACAAGAATGCCAACAACACTCTTAGACAAGGTGCATTCTTTGATACAATCTCTTTGTTCTTGTGTTAATCAACTTCCGGGTCGCAATGATATAGCCTTGAAGATCCGAGAGATAAATCGAAAGTTAGGAGCGGCACTAGAAGAGGCTAACAACTTTAGCTTTGTTGTCGGACGTACTTTTAGTGGTCTTGATTCCAAAGCATGTAAAGCCCGCGTGAGTACCTCTATCATAGATATATCACAAGTTCAAGGTCGAGAATTTGATAAGAAATCTTTACTCAAACACTTATTTCAAGGGAGTAAAGGAGGCATTGAAAATGATGTGATCAAAGTTATCTCTATAGTAGGGGTTGGGGGTAGCGGAAAAACCACACTAGCTCAACTTCTTTATAATGATGACAAAGTGAAGAAACATTTTGTTAGGAAATGGGTATGTGTCTCAAATACTTTTGATGAAGAAAGGGTTTCCAAGGCTCTCCTTGAAGACCCTGAAATGAGTGCTACTAACAACCACCAATCGGAGCTAGAATCGCTCCTCCAAAATCTAAAAACTTTCTTTTCTGGGAAGATATTTTTTATTGTGTTTGATGATGTTTGGACGGAGGATTACTCCAAGTGGAGAAAATTTAAAGATTCACTCCAGGATGGTGCTCCTGGAAGCATAATCTTAGTGACGACGAGAAAGGAGAGCGTGGCGAGAGTAGTAGGCACCGATTACTTGCATATGTTAGGCCTGCTTACAAAGTTTGATTGCTGGACAATCATTAAGCAAAGAGCATTGTCAAAAAGATCCGAGTTATGTAAGAGCGTTGAAAGTATTGGGAAAAAAATCGCGAAAAAATGCAAAGGACTGCCCCTAGCTGCAGAGATTATCGGAAGTCTTTTACAGTATAAAGATAGTCTACAAGAGTGGTGTGATGTTTTGGATGATGAGATTTGGCAATTGGAGACAGAAGAGAAACTTTTTCCTCATTTCTATCTAAGTTACCGGGAGTTATGCCCGCGACTAAAAAAGTGCTTCTCATATTGTGGGGTTTTTCCTAAAGACCACATCTTTGAAGCTGAAAACATGATAAGTTTGTGGATGGCCCAAGGTTATCTTGGTAACCCTAGTCGAAAAGGCAATGACAGGATGGAAAGAATAGGTCAAGAGTGTATCAAAAGTTTGATAATGCATTCTTTCTTCAAGAATAATCTAGCTGGATTTTACGACAGGGATAAAGTAATCGAGTTCAAGATGCACGACATTGTTCATGATTTTGCACAACATGTCGGGAAACATGAATGTCGTCGTGTTTTTGAAAAAGTTGATTGCCAAATGGTGGAAGGTAGTGAAGGAAATACATCAACAAGAAGATTTCGTCATGTTAACATGCTTGGCTCGGTAAAATCGATGAATTTGATAACCCGTGACATTGAGAAGGTGCGGAGTCTCTTTTTCCATCCTTCTAGTTTTATCCCACAAGATTTGTTCACAAGTTTAAAAGCTGTGAGGTCATTAAAATTGTCCAACTGTGGATTACTAGAACTGCCACAAGAGATAGGAGATTTGATTCATATTCGGTTATTGGATGTGAGTAAAAATCAGTTCACAGAGTTACCGGAATCTATATGTAATTTGCATTATCTTCAATCACTATATGTTGATGAGTGTGAAAAGCTTGGGCAACTCCCTCAAAGGTTTGGAGACTTGGTACACTTGAGACACCTTTACATGGACGAGACAAATCAATTGAAGAAAATGCCACAAGAGATAGAAAAGCTAACTTCACTTCGTACTTTGGGTAAGTTCATTGTTGATGATGATGAACCGGCAAATAACATCGTGAAGTTAAAGAAATTGAACCATCTTGAATCCTTAAACATGCACGTTCATAGAGATGTGGATTTCGAGAATGCTGAATTGGGTGATAAAATCTATTTGGACTGGCTAAAGTTGGTATTTGAAGGAGAAGGATTTGATTCAGGGAATAAAAGTTTGTTAGAGACAATGGAACCGCCTCCAAATCTCAAAGAACTTTTTATTTTTAACTATCCAGCAATCCATCTACCCAAATGGATATTAGCTCAAACCCTAGTCAACAATTTGAAATATTTGCATTTATGTGGAGCTCATTCGGTTTCATCATTGCCTTCTTTGTGGAAGTTTCAATCTCTCCAAGTCCTCACTCTTGAGTTTCTTCTGAACCTAAAATGTTTTGGTCGTGAATTCTATGGACTACCAAATGATTTTCAACCGAAAGTGTTCCGTAAAGATGGGGTGGCAAATGTGGTAGCATTCCCAAGTTTGAAGTCATTGACTCTGCGACAACTAAGTTTGGAAACATGGGAAGACATAAGTGAAGAAGATGATGAAAAACTTAGTATCTCGATCATGCCACGGCTTCAGAATCTAGGTGTTCAATCTTGTAACAAGTTGAATTCATTGCCCCATCGAATTGTTGGAAAGGCATCATCTCTCAAATGGTTACACATCCACACTTGCAAGACATTAGAAGAAAGGTACTCAAAGAACACAAAAGAAGATTGGAGGAAATTATCACCTGCCCCCGCCGTTCGAATATTAGGTCAGATTCCCAACTCCGTATACACTTGTTTGTATTTTTCTATTTTTAAACTTATTGTCAATTACGTCAAAGATTATGTTAATTATTCCATGGTAATGTTGAAATTAATTCTCATTTTTCAGTAAATTGGGAAAATGTAATGGTGCAAGTGTCAGAGCTAGATGAAGAGCCATAGAAGAATCTTTATTTTCTTGATTCACAGTAAGTTGAATCGTTCATCCATTACATAATTAGTTATACTTGTTTCATCTGAATTTTATGGTTTATTTTATTGAACTTTCTAATTCAGCAAAGTAAGCTATTTTTCTATATCGAAGGGAATAATACTACTCTTTCATGTATTGGACGTTATGGTTTAATAGTTCATGGCCTTATTGCTAATATACTTTTTGTTGTTAGTCATTGCTCCTATAATATTTTACTATTTATTTACATGTCCAAATCGTAGCTATTTATTCATTAAAACCTGAGACAGTCGGACTTAGCGATTGCGATCATATATTGGAGACAATTTCAAATGTTCGTCTTATCCTAAATCCTTGTTATCATTTTGTCTTTATTGTTCATACAGAGTTCATATATATTTAGTTGATACATAATTTTGTTGGATGTTAATTTGTATCGCAAGCAATCTATTCAACAAACTAAAGTACAAACAGCCTTTGGTACTATATTATTCTGATTTACCCAAGATCAAAATAATAGTGCACTGAGTCACTGACTCCCATACATTCCAAACATTTTCAAGCATAGGCTCGATCAAGTAAAAGTAGTATAATCACAACTATTTGCAAAGTTTCTTTCTTCAAAACAAAGAAGATTAATTATCCAATAAGAGCCGAACCGTCAAACTCGTGATAGTAACAATTTCTGTCCTAAATGACCTAATAGTGGAATTCTTGATGAAAAGCAGAGAAATTATGCCTGAAATGCAGAGAAAGGGGAACGGCCTGGGGACGATGGGAAAGAAGGAGAAGATCGGGTAAAATTGGATTTTGGCACACTAAGGGTAGATTGTTGAAGGAATTCTTGTTCTCTTGTTTGATCTTGAAGAAATACTGCTGTAGCTGGAACCAGATATGGAAGAGAGGCATGAAAATCATGGAGGAAGAGAAGATTACAGGGATCTCAAAGCTTTGATTGATATCCAGTTGCAAGTTCATGGATATGAAAATCTAGGAACTCCTTTGGTTTCGGTTTTGTTAAATGACAAGAATTACCTAATTTGGAAGGGTGCAATGTTTAGCAGCACTGGAAGTGAATCTTAAAGATGGATTCATAACGGGAACTCTACCGAAACCGCTTGTGAATTCACCATGATTTGCACGCTGGAAGCACGCAAATAGCTCAGTTTGCTCATGGATTAAGAGTTCGATATCGCTAGTGTTGGTCAATACTTTTGCCTTTATATATGATGCAAGAACTCTTTAGAATGACATGACAAAGCAATATGGAACTACTAATTTGCCTTAGCTGTTTGAGATTAAGCGTGAAATAGCTTTAATAAGGTAGGAAGATTCGAGTGTGGCTGCTTATTATGGACACCGAAGCAATTGTGGGATCAGCATGCACAACCAAGGCAAATTCTAATGGTTGATACTGAAATTTGAGTGTTAATGGTGAGCAGAGATGTAGAGTGATAAGGGGATGAAACTTGTCATGGGAATGAATGAAGTGTATGAATGAGAGAGGAACAACATCCTGTTTATGGATCCAATGCCACCAATTACTCAGATTTATAATATGATCTTCACCACTAATAAACATAGGCAGGTGAGCACAAGTATGACTCTTCCAATGGAAAATGTAGCTTTGATTTCTAGTACACTTGATTCGAGGAAGTCAACAAAGTCAACATTAATTACCACATAAAGGAATTACAGGACCCAAATGTTATCAGAAAAGAGACGAGAGCAAACTGTTATTTACTCATTGAAGCAGGATAGGGCATATTAAAGAGGAATGCTTCAAACTGCATGGTCTTCTTGAGTAGGGCTGTAAACGAGTCCAGCTACTCACAAACTACTCCGAGCCGGCTCGGTCAAAACTTGACTCGAACTTGAGTTGACCGATCTCGAGTCAAACTCGAGCTAATTTGTTAAAGTAACAAGCTGATCTTGAGCTCGGTCGATGCTTGCTCGTCGAGCCACTCGATTTATTATTAAATATATATTTTTTAAAAATATTTTTTTAGGCAGAATGATTAGGGATTCCAGAATTTCAGTCACTAGTCTCTGGTTACTCCCTCTCTTCTCGTTGTGTGTCTCTCTCTAACCTCTCTCCTTCTCTTGTCATTTGACAGATTCATCACCTTGATGATTCATGAAAGGGATCTCCAGATCCACTTCCTTCTCTAATTTTACTTCAAATATTTTGTTGTAACTTTATCTGCTTCTTTGTAAGGATTATGAAGGATATAAAACTACTTTAAAAATAATAAATTTGGGGTTGGACCTGGGGGGTTGTTGATGCCCCAATGTGCTTGAATATGATGCATTTGTGAGATGTGAAGATTTGGTAGGTTTGCCACCGATGTTCAGAAATTCATAGCCATCTTCAAAATTTTCTTTTCCTTTTCCTTTTTTTTCCTAACATTTTGTCTTTAATATTTTTCCATTTTCAGTTTTTCTGTGTTGATTTAATCTTTTTAGCTGTCGAATGGGATGAGAATTAATTTAATGTTCTCGCAAAAGAAATTCTGAATCGACTCCTTTTTCTTACAATGAAATTGTCCAAACTCCAAACTGGTTTCAGCTCGACAAACGGAGCTCTATCTCTACAAAACCTAAACGAGCTGAGCTTGAGTTCAAAATTTTTGGCTCAATCGAGTTCGGGTCAAACTCGAACTCTGTAATAAAAGACTCGAGTCGACTCGGCTCGACTCAGCTCGTTTACAGCCGTATTCTTGAGTGGTATCATGAATTCAAACGGAAATAACAACAGCATTCAGTCGGGATAAATCATGTCAGCAACATGGTAACAGCTAGAGATACACCTTTGGACTCAAAAGCAAGTGACAATGGTGATATGCACTTGGTAATTTCAAGTGTTGTGCAGAAGGTGATAGACAACATTATGAAAGAAAAAGCATCGGCTGATCAAACTGCTGCATCTTCAGTAAATTTTGCTCACTTTGATAGGTTTACGGGTAGCTCTTGTCTTACTAAACTAAGTTCAATGCCACTTGATATAATATGGTTCTTGGATCACCGATAGGGGTGCAACTAAGCATATGTATATTGATTTTAGCCTTATCTGCCATTCTTTTTCTCCTGCATGGTTGCTTGATGGTTGATAACATAAAAATATATACCCTTTTTGCAGGATTTCTTACTCATTTCTACTTACAATTTAGTGTCAATTAGTTAGGATTAGTTTACTTTTGGAGTAATTTTGCAGTTCAGGTATCTCAGAGGGTCAAAATGGAAAATTGGCATAAAAGAGGACCAAATTGAACCAAAAGACATCAAAATGGACTAGAATGGAAGCTGCTGGAAATTGAGCTGTTGATGGATTGATCGGAGCTGAAGCAAGTGGAGAAATCCTTACTGTGGAAGGAAGAATGACAGCAGATGGATGCAAGTGGAAGACTCTGTAGCAACTACCTCAATAGAGAAAAAAGAAATGGCAGTTGCTCTGCTGCCATGTTGCTGCTGTAGATGCTATTGCTGCTGTCAATCAGGAAAGCCAAGGCTGAATTCTTGCTGCTAAGTTATAGCTGCTACAAGTTGAAGAAGAGAAAAAGGGAGAATATGTGGAAAACAGTAGCTACAACTTGCTACTTACCTACTGTGACTGCTGCTGCCGAATTGATGGATTGGCTACTGTTGTCAGGTGAGAAATGGTGTTGCAAGTGATCACAGGAAACACGGAAGGAAAAGGCAGATAGATTTGGGCTGAATTGGGGGCTGAAACACAATGATGAAAGGAAGCATGCTGCTGATGCTGCTTGCTACTGCTGTTAGTTGAGCTGCTGGAGATTAAAGAATGAAGAAATAGAGATTTGTGGTTGAAAATTGGAGAAACTGCACTGGAGAAGAAGACTAAAAGAAGAAGGCAATGATGATTGGAAGGTGGCTGATTTCGGCTGAAGAGAAGGAACAGCCAAAGAGAAGACTGCAACTTGCCTGGTTGGCATGCTGCAGAATAAACAAACCTCTACTGCTGCAAGTTCCTGCCTCACCTTTCTACTGCAGAGAAGAAGGCCAGAAACCAACCAATCCAAGTTTCTCCAAATCTCTATAAATAGTCAACCAATAGCAGTTAGAAAAATAACAGATTGGGTAGTTAGATTTAGTCTAAAAGACAGTAGTTAGGTAGTTAGTTAGTAGGTTAGAAACAAAGTAGTAGCAGGAACAAGGAGGCAGACTATCACTCTGTCAAGTGGCGAACGCCACTCGCTGTAGAGAGCAGGCAGAAATTGTCCCTGCTACCATCTTCCCTTTCTTTCCTCTAACCTTTTGATCTAGACTTATGTCTTATCTTTTGTACGCTGTTGCTCTCATGTTTAACTCGATAAGCATAAGTAGCTAACTCAGTGAAGGGTTCAATCCCTACTATATTTATGTGAAGGTTTTGATTCAGTTTTCTTGATGAGGTGTTGTGCCTAGATGAGTGAATTAATTAACCTTTTAGTTAACTTGGCCACTTAATTAAAAGTACTTGCATGGTTATGAAGATCTGGAAGGGGGAGCATAACCTTGGAACAACTTAATCTAGTATATGATAATGGCGGAAATCTACCCTGCGGTTCGAGACATCAACGGAAGTTAGGTGAATGACATAGGCGATCATAAAAGGATTAAGAACTCAATGGTTAAGATTAATGAATTACTCTGACTGGAAGGTAGGTGATTTAGATAATCTAGGACTCTTTATTCTGTCTGGAAGGAATTATAAAGAATATAAGTGCCTAATCAAACAATTCATCATACACTAAAGGAATATTTGAATCAAAACTGGATCTTAAGGGTAGGAAGGTGATTGACCTTTCTGCCTCTTCACTCTGCCAAGTGACTATTCTCACTCTCTAAGTGACAATCTGTTCAACTCATTTCTTTCTTTTCTGCACTTTAATCAGATTTTGAGCGGTTGACTGCCGTCTCTGCGGAACGACCCTGCTTACCACTAGCTACTAGTTTTAAGTAGGTTTATCAATATTCTTTCTAGGAAGTGGTTCAATGACAAACACCTCACCAAAAGTGGCGCCGTTGCCAGGGATGGCGTTAAAAATCCTTGAAATCCGATTATTGTTTTCTATTTTAGTTCTTTTTAGCTCTTCTGTTTTTAGTCAAATTCACTCACTCAATTCACCAATCTTGCTATTGTTATTCTTCTTGTTTTGATTACTGGTTTATGATTAGAAGCAATCTATTAGGAGAACTAAGTTTTGATCCAGAAATTGAAATCACGGCAAGGAGATCCAAAGTCTTGCGAAATAGAGAAGCTGGTGCTTGTGTTCTTAAAGACCAAAAGCAAATGGCAGAGATAGTACCAGCCGATCAACCTCAAGAAATAGAGCTACAACCAGCTTAACCCAGACTGCTAAGAGATTATTTTGTATCCCAAGAGGAGGAAGTTCAAACTCCATTGTTGTACAATGATGTTGCAGCAGAGAACTTTGAGCTCAAAACTCAAATGATTCAATGGGTGCAAGCTGTTTGTCCTTTGTATGGACTACCCAATGAAGATCCCAATGAGCACATCATGAAATTCCTGAGACTGTGCAATACCTTCAAGGTTCAAGGTTTGTCCAAAGATGAGGTTTACTTGAGACTGTTTCCATTCACATTGCAGGATTTAGCAGCAAAATGGTTGGGTACTCTAGCCAACAATTCAATCAACTCATGGAATGGAGTCAAACAGGCATTCCTTACCAAATTCTTCCCACCTGTCAAGGCTGCTGCTTTAAGATCAGCCATCATGATTTTTCAGCAGCATGGGACAACGACTCTTTATGAGGCTTGGGAAAAATTTAAGGAT